AAACCTCCAGCAGAAACAGGCTCAGAGAGGGGCGGGGCCATCTGCTGCGACTGGTTGGGGAGAGAGGAGGAACATTTAACCCTTCCAAGATGACGTTACACCTTTTCTGACAGCTGGAATGATCATCTGTTTACAACATCACAGCAGTCATAAGGAATTCCTTCCCTGTAGCTGCCATGCTATGAAATATCCAAGGTGGCTCAGGTGCACAGGAATTTGGCCTTTCAAAACAGAAATCTTCAGTCTTACAGTTGCACTGTACCACAAACTCCACCCTGCTGCCACACAGGCAGTTTCACCCTCAGTGGGGAAGTTCATGAGTTTTGATAACAAACCTGGCACCGAATGCACTGCTGTCACATTTGGGGCCAAAAGTCCGTTTAGCTTAGATTAAATTCTTCTTTGTTGAGGATTCTTAACTCTTTGCTTTGTTCCTTGATAATTCACGGTCACGATTCCCAAGCATGTCTTTCATCCAGTCTTCCTTCTCTCTCCCCAACAGGTCGTGGCAGATGGCCCGCCCCTCCCTGAGCCTGGTTTTGCTGGAGGTGTCTTCCTGTTAAATGGGAGCCAAAGTGCTTGCTCATAGGGGGTCATATGATTGTTCAGTTTTTCTCTGTATGTATTATTGTAGGTCTACCTTACAATATAAAGCACCTTGGGGTCATTGTTGATGTGATTTGGTGCTGTATAAATAAAACTGAACTGAATTGAAAATTGAACAATTCAACATAGCAACTAGCTGGCTAATGTTGTTGCTAGCAAGATATGATCTGAAGCCAGAATTTGTTTTGCTCTCATTTTGTGTTGGAGTCCGTGTTGTGTCAATTTCCAGACTGGTACTGGTCACCATGGGCACTGACAGTTGAAGAGAGGCATCCGCAGTCTCTTAGAGGGGACCCAGAGTGTCACCAAAAGTCTCCCTTTTTCTAGAGCATGACAGTCAGATACATCCAGACAGTGCCAGTAAAGGGCATTTAATTAATCATGTTTGAGAAGATTCAGGAATCCAGGCTTCACTAGTATCTTATCTAAGATCAGCTGGGAAAACGCCTGTTAAAAGTATGGCTAGATGTTTTCACTGGTTCCCTTACATGAAGGCTTCTCATTGACATGTATGTAAATAGAATGAAAGACTTTAACTAATGTTACATATAACAGTCATTCATCATCAATTGATCAGTATTAACTGTAAAGACATTTCCATTATATTTCATTTGAATCATGAGCTTTGCTCCTGTGTCTGTAAAACAGAAATTAAAATTTTTAGTTACTGGTTTATTTATTTAAAATGACACTAATGGTGATAAAAAGGTTATATGGCACTGGCAGCCATGCTGGACTCTCCACTCTGCTCAAACATTCCTGTTTCACTACTAGAGATGGGCAGTAACGCGTTACTGTAATCTGATTACTTTTTTCAAGTAATGCATAAAGTAAGGGATTACTATTGCAAAAACGGAAATTAGATTACCGTTACTTTCCCGTAGGAACGCTGCGTTACTGCGTTACTAAAACCGTGATTTTTTTGCAGAATGTCTCACGACAGTGACGTAAGCGAGTGCGCCGTTAGTGACAACAGCTGTGTGCAGATCAACACCAGGGTAAACCTCCGCCTACCCCAGTCCTGCTTTACAGGTGAAAATAGAGCAACAGGACCGCTGAGTCTTTGACTTTATTTATTTTCTGCTGTGTTTTACTTGCATCTATTTGAAAGACTGAGTGTAAACACACAAAATATTTTATTTTATGTGCTGGAATGTGCAGAAAATAGGTTTCAATGTTAAACTCATTTATTCAACTCAGAGAATGTTGCATATAATTAAATTTTTGCTTGATGCATAAAGTTAAAAGATTAAAACTAATAAAACAAGTTTTAAAAAGAGACTTTTCCATTTGATTGCATTTTGTATGAGGGATTATGCAGAAAAAGTAGAATTGGGCTGAAAGATCTATCACTTTATCACCTCTTCAGGTTGTAAATCGTGTTTTTAAAAAGTAAATAAGTAACTAATTACTTTTAAAAATAAGTAATCAGTAAAGTAACAGGATTACTTTTTGGGGAAGTAATCAGTAATTAGTTACTGATGACTTTTTTCAAGAAACTTGACCAACACTGTTCACTACACAGAGACATCAGAGCATCCCATAACCAAACTAACACTCAAACAAAGGCAGAGGAAAAAGAAAACAAGTATAAACCAATCACTTTCATCTTGATTAGGTACAATTAAATAACAGTCTTGGGAAGGAAGGAAGACCAAATCTTTTTTATTTATATATTTATTTGCATGGATGTGTCTTTGACATATGACTCATTCACAGCAGCTCAAATGCCATTGCTGAGTATGCCACAAATTATTCAAGGAAAAAAAAATCATAGCAAATACCAATTTACTTTTGCTGTTATTAGTACAACTGTTGAATTGATTGGAGGAAGATAGGGTGGTGTATAAGTGGAGGACGGTGCACACAAGTGGACTACATCTTATGTAGTAGGCGCAATCTGAAAGAGGTAGGAGACTGCACGGTGGTCGCACAGGAGAATTTAACTAGGCAGCAAAGATGGTAGTCTGTAGGATCACTTCAATCATCAAGAGGAAGCGAGGGCAGAGGCTCAGGAAGGAATTGAGACGTGCTCTGGGTGGAAGGGAAGAATTACAAGCTGACTGGGAACATACAGCTGTAGTGCTGAGGGAAGCTGCCAAGCTGTTTGGTGCATCCTCTGGACAGAGGAAGTATTGGAAGGTTAGGCTTATGGCAAAGAGAGAAAATCTATCTGCTTGGCCAATCTATCAATTGGCCAGGCAGAGAGAGACTGAGATGGAAAAGATGTGCAGTGGGTTAGGATGATTAAACACAGAAATGGAAATGTGCTAGTGATTGAAGAGTCTGCTGACAAGACAGAAGACAGAAGAAATACTCCAAGGAACCGATGAATGAAGAAATCGAGAGTGAGAGGAGGATAGATGGTGGAGAGTTTTTGAATCAGGAAGTGCAGAGGATTAGTAAGGAATAAGTGAAGGCAGCTATGAAGATGATGAAGAGTGGAAAGACAGCTGGTCCAGATGACATAGCTGTGATGGTGTGTGAATTACCGGGAAACTGGTGGAAATGGTAACATGTAAGGAGTAGAGATGAGTTTAAATACCTGGGGTCAACCATACAAAGCAACGGACACGGCAAAAGAGAGGTGAGGCAGGGTAGTCTTGGTGGAAATGAGTGTCAGGGGTGATATGCGATAGAAGGGTAGCAGCAAGAGTGGAAGAGAAGGCTTACAAGGCGCCAGTGAGACCTTACTCCACCACAATAAGAGGCTGAGGTGGAGGAGGTCGCAGAATTTTAGATGTTAAGATTTAAATTCAGATTGACCAGAAAGGACAAGAAAGAGAAATGAGTACATCAGAAAGATATCTCTGAGTGAGCGGTTTGGAGAGAAAAGGTTGAGATGGTTTAGGATGTATGCAGAGGAGGTTTGTGGATGTAGTGCAGGGGGTTGGTGTGACAGAAGAGGATACCAGAGACAGGGAGAGGTGGATGCAGATGATCTGCTGTGGTGACCCCTAAAGGGATCAGCCAAAACAACTATCAATACATGTGTTGTAAACATATACTTGCTTGTGCAAAAACTAGTTGAGAAATCTGTACTGGAAACTTTAACCCTGAGAAAATCTCACAAAAACTAAAGCTCCTTTGGTGCTCACATGTTCTTAACTGCTCCAGTCACGCAGGTATTCAACCAATGAGGATCAAAAGTCAAACTAATATTACTGCAGATATTATGTGATGATTGAACTGGATAAACAGAAGAGAACGGTTCGATGGATGAGTGTTTTAATACACCTCAGCAGGAAAAAGGAAAAAGACTCCTGAGGCTGACAGAAAATGAAAGGACATCTATCACTTGAGATGACTGTGAGTGCAATATCATACCACTAAAATGCTCAGGAAACTCTTCCAAAGGTTAAATCTGCATACTTTCATTCATTGCATGCCTCTGTGTAGGGATGGGTACCGGTGTCATGGCACCGGTTCTGACATAAACGGTAGTAACCAGACCGAAAAGCAGCGCACATTTCGGTGCTTTATTTCGGTGCTTTTATTCCTGAGCTGTGATACACTTCTAGCCAATCATTTTACGTTTCCGAGGATAGTAGGCGGGTCCAGGTAGAGCTACAGATTAAAAATGCCCAAAGCGAAGCGGTCAAAAGTCTGGCTGTACTTCACAGCAAAAGATGCAAACTCAGCAGCAACAAGTGCTTTAAGCTGATACTGTGATACTGTCAAAGGAAGTAACACCTCGAATCCGATGAAACACCTGGCGACACATAGCGTTTTTTTAAAAAGCCCAGAAATGCGCCGTATTTGATAGCTTGCTGCGAGACCTCACACCGAGCACATCTACTGCGGGTGGGTTGGCTGTTATGCAACATCCCCCAAAAACACGAAGAGGAGAGTCCTGGCCCCTAGCCCTGCCAGTGTAGCAGAAATTGTATTTTTGTATTGTATTGTATCTTTATTTATTTCAGACATAATAAAACAAACAACCAAAAAACAAAAAAAAAAATATATACTCGTCCACTATGAAATGATGAGGATGATGATGCAGCAGCAGCCGCTCTTTTCTGCGTGAGTAGCTTAATGTTGTTCGTGTGTAATTTACGTTGAGTAGGCTAACCACGTTATTACATTAATGCATGTAAGGTGAACTAGCAAACATCATCATAGCTACATGCGGCTGTCTTCTTGTTTGATGGCAGATGCTCCCTTCACCCTGGCTAAAAAGGCTAAAATGACCAAAGAAAAAGTGGGAAACAGTTAAACATGAGAGGTTTTTGGACAAAGTTTGTGTTTTTTCCATTGTTTAAGCACTGCTTCCAGCCAAGAGTGATACCATATATGCCCCATAGCTGCAGAAAAGGCTAACATTGTTATCTTTTTACAAAAAACAGCTGAACATGAGAGGTTTTTGGACCAATTTTGTGTTCTCCATTCTTTAAGCACCGGTTTGAGCACCGTTTGAGCACCGGCACCGGTATCGGATAAAACCTAAACGATACACATCCCTACCTCTGTGTGTCTGCCACTATACCAGCGTTTTGAATATAGATTATAAATTTAATGCTCTTGATGATGTCCTAGTATTTTTTAAAGATGCCCAAACTGACAGCACTAGCATCATTTGCCTCCTACAAGCTACACTGATATACAAATCCAAAACATGGTTACTAAATAGCTTTGATATGTGGTCAAAATTGAGGTAAGATCAAAGCCTGTCTTCTGACATCCCATTTTAAAGTTTAAAGAAAATATACTGTAAAATGTAAAATTCATGAGGAAAACAGATAAACAGACTTCAGTGACTTTAGCTGGTTAGCTATGGCTAGCCCACAACCCTTTTCCCACTGAATAAAAGAGATGCTCTAGCTTCTTAAACTGACTTTGTTGAACATCAACTTTACAACTGAAATTTACGTCAAAATATTAAAAACAAACAAAGAAACTTTCCCGGATAGGCTGAGTAATTAGTTTAAATGCCTTTTACAGCATTTAATTCATGATAAATGATCAAACTAGCCCCTGACTATAAATGGGCGCGCTAACTAAAGCATCTTACAGACTTTTGCATTATTGGTAATCACCAAAAGAGATTTTCCACAAGGGTTTTTAGGCCACTTTAAACCCCAACAGAATGCTAAATGTTCCAAAGTTGTTTTCTTTCAGAAAATTATCCATGAGGTTTTTTTGTGGTTTTTATTAGATCGTCCTGATCTGAACCTGTGTTGACTTTCTCTGTATTCATGCAACATCAGCACTAGGGTATTAGTGTGTCCATCAGAATCTAGATTCTATTTTATTATTCACTGACTTTACAGAGCTGTTGGATTAAATCTGTCAGCTTTTCAGGCAGCAACTTGGAAAAAGCAAGTTTAAAACTTTAAAAACATCTAAGTAAATAATGATCACGATAGTCTTTCTTTCCACCTTCTCATTCAGTTGTGCCTTCCAAAATGAAAATGCCTTGTATAATCATCATGTCAGCCAATTGTCTGTGTCCATATAAGATTAGCTACATAGTATGCAATTCTTTTTCTTGTCCTCTCAATACTCTTCAACTGCTGGACAGTGCAGCAGACTGAGGAGTCTGAGCCCCAGCATCGTCTTTCAGGCCTGAGATAGATGCAGCATGCAGGGCTGTTTTTGGACATACAAACAGAACCCAGCTGAGGAAGCAGAACAGATATCGCCCCTTTGATGAACAAACCAAAAACTGTAATGTTGTGAAATACGAACGAATGAAACAGCTGGTTTTGGCCACCTGTTGGTATTATTACACACAGAGTAAAGGACAAACACATTATACTGCTAACAGCTGATGAATATGTTGTTTCACGTATGGGCAACAAAATGCTTAAAAGTATGTATTTACCTATTTCCATAGAAACATGTTTATTTTGACGTTCCCGGGCTCAGACAGTGTCGTGTACAAAGAGAAGTTGAAAATGAACCTAAAAAAGACTTCAAAATGACACCTCGTCTAAATTGTACAAAAGTTGTTTCATTTCTTTTTTGTTATGTCATAAGTAGCACCTGTGTGCTTTTACATGCGCACTTCTTCTTTTGACTTTTAAAGCTGTAAAGTGGTTTTTTTCTTCATTCAATAATCACATTTCGTTAACTCTGTGAGCTTTGATGTAATAACTCCTTGGAACAATACGAGTGTGTGTTTGCGAATGATTTTATCCCAGAGTTTGGTAAAGCTGATCATCCCATTTTCTCTCAGGTTTTGTTTCTTCTCAAACAGTTTGACTTTGTTAGATTAGTTCGTGTCAGTCCTGCTTAACAAACTTTGACCTCCAAAACCCAAACCAAAAGGGTTTCACCTGCAGAGCTTAGGACAGGAGATGGATGGAGGAGGTGAAGTATCGGGGAACGAGGCACAAAGCTGGAAGAGGAGGAAGAGATCTTTGGTTCTCAATGGAACCGCTGAACACAAAATCTTGGATCCTTAGTTTCTTGTATTTCAATCTGGTTAAGAAAGAGAGAGAAAGAACAGAGGCAGTGTCAGGACAGCAGCATCTGAGCTGAGAAATGGAAACTGAAACATGCCATGAGAGACAGGAGAGGGTGGCAAAGCAGGTGTGCGCCAGGACTCATTCTTGTCCTGCATGCTATATACTATTTTGTACTGGCAGGGATAGACTGTGCTTGAACACTGGGGTTATATGTCAAGCACAAAATTAGGCATCATTTGCACACATTTCTATCTCATATGCAACAGTTTAGAGTGGAAATGTCTCCGTAAAATCATGCACAATTCACAGACTGCACACATCTGTTGAAACAGAAAATTCCTTCCTCACCTTCAGTGAATTTCATGTGTTTGTTATTTTGTGAAGAACACCAAGACAATGCTTCCTATATTTTCTGAATAAAATCGGATATGTATCTGAGAAGATATGATGTGAAATGCCCAACCTGTCCTGTCTCACAATGCTAAAGAATCCAAATATTCCTGGATCCAGACTTCTGGACTCTGCGTTTTGAAGCCTCAAAGTTAGTGGGGTTATTTTTGGTATATAGTTGGCACATTTAGATGATGACTGTATTCTAAAGCTTCCGGTGTAAAACACATATAACTGCTCAGACTAATAAAATACACAAATTTCACTCAGCACAACCACACAGCAGGCATTATTATTAATCGACAGCGACATTCATGAAGACCATAACCACTATCGAGCTGTTATGATGGATTAAATTATCAAGAGAGTCCAAGATTTGTATCCTTTTGTTCTTTTTTGTTTGTTTATTTGTCCCGGACTTCAGACAGTCTTCAGCATGAATGTTTTGGAGTGGGATGTACCACAGAGAAGTGTCACGCCTTGTAGTTCAAACCAGCCTGCGATCTTTCTGTGAACCAAACCGTGTAGTTTAATAAAGTTATTTAAATTGATAATATCATATCAAAAATAGCTGTTAGTGTCGAAATCTGTTGGCAGTTGAATATTTTCCCTTTAAAAGTGGAAAAATAATTATTTTGTATACAAGACCCAAATGGATCCATATGAAACCAGACGGATGTTAGAGGCTGTGACTACTGCCTGGTATTTGGCATTCAGACATTTTCTAGTATTTTCAATTCTATTCTCCTGTAGATCAGTTTTGCACGTTCATTATTTTCCTGCTGACTCCACACACATTCAGCCATGACTCACTCTTCTTTCCTCTCCTATTCTGTTTGGTGTTGTAACCTTTAAATGAGTGATGTTAAAATTCAAATGACTGTTGGAGCTTCCTTTGTTTATGTCACATGACTGCAAGTCAAAGTAGGGGAACTGTCACAAGGACTTTGACATATGAATCAGCAGGTGGTGAATAAAAGGCCAAAAACAAACAGAAACATTGTAATGTGACAGTCTTTAACGTTTTTCTTACAGATTTTGCAGCCTCATTCTGATACACTTTCAATGTAATTTTATCCTTTAGAGCTGCTATGTCTATTTGAAATGCATAAACCTTCATAGTTCTGCCATGAGATCTTAGGTCTTTAATGTTTTATTAATGTTTATTGATAACTCAATGAAAAAAATGTTTCTTTTGATGGATTAAAAGAACCGAAAACTATTGTAAATGTCACAAATACAAATGGGAGCAACTTACTGGCCTGTGAATACCAAGGTCAGATCAAGTTTAATTAAACTCAGTTAAGCAAGCAGCAGTCTGATTTGAGGCATCCATTATTTAGCCAGTCACAGCTGCCCCTGGATGAACCTCCTGTTTGTCACAAACAGGCTGGATGGGGAGGGATGGGGGTTGAGTTTGAATGTTGCTGATGAAGGCTGCCTGTGGAGAAGGATATTAATAGCTCCAGCACTTACCAGATGACTCATTCTTCAAACAAAACCGTCAAATGAAAATGATTTTTTACCCAAAGTTGGTTGGATGTTGGGTGAGATGTGGAGGTTATTGAATATTGTATTATCTGTTAGGTGCCGCGCCTCCAAGAAATACATACGTACTGGACCCAGTTACAGTGTGAGGGGATTTTTCTTGCACATTATGTTTCTTGACATTTATGTATGTTTGTAAACACTAAATTCTCTGAGCCTGGTTCTGCTGGAGGTTTCTTCCTGTTAAAAGGGAGTTTTTCCTTCCCACTGTCGCCAAAGTGCTGCTCATAGGGGGTCATATGATTGTTGGGTTTTTCAGTGTATGTATTATTGTAGGGCCTACCTTACAATATAAAGCACCTTGAGGCGACTGTTGCTGTGATTTGGTGCTATAATAAATAAAATTGAACTGAATTGAATTAAATTCCTACTGCATCAGATATTTGACGTGGTGGGCCTCATCACAACGGTAAGTCTAATATGGTTAAAGCTGTCAAAGAACTTGGAGTGATAAGGAGGAGAGCTAAAAGAACATTACACTGCAAACACCAACATACAGCTGCTTTGCCATTTTAACTGAGGACCACCAGTCTTTTAAAGCATAGGTTCAGATTTACATTGCAATAACGTCAGTGCTCCAAAAGAAAGGACAGCACAACATAATGTATTTACACACAAAAGCGCCCCTGTTGACCATTATGAATAATGCAGCCTAACTAGTAAATAAAACCCTCACTCCAAGAAATCTGAGATGTGTAAGATTTAAATCACTTCGCACAAACCCACAAATGATTCACAGTAGAGCATAGAAAACATATCAAGTGATTAAACTGAGACCTAATATTTCATGAAAAATAGCTCATTTTGAATAAGATGGCAGCAATACTGTCACGGCTGGGTTCTCTTTTGTTTTCTTTGTTTTTCTCAGTGAATCTAAGCTTCAGTTGGAATGGTGGCTCCACCTCTGGGCAGAGTATTGTAGACTGTACTGTCTTCACTCCTGTAGTGATAATCGCTGGAATTGTCACCTGGAATACTCACTTGCCTGCAAGCCCTCTGCCACTGGTCACTTCCCTCTTGGAATCGACCTGCCTCCTAAGATACCCCTCATGTTTATGCTCACTGCCACGTAAGACTGTAGTCCACTCACTCTTGGACATAGTTCAGTACCTATTGAGCCCTCTCGTTTCACTCTGGATTCACTCTTGTCCCTTTGCAGAACTCCCATTGTTGATCCTATTAACCGTGAATTCAAGCTTCCTCTCAGTCACCTTTGCATTATTTTTTAAATGATTTTGTGCAAATAAACTTAAAAAAAAAATGCAATCAGCTGGAATCCGCTCTTAACAGTCTGTAAATATCCATGGAGGTAACCAAGGAGACCAGCTGCTGGACTAGTGAGGAAACCTATTCCTGCCTGATTCTGTTTTAATGCAGTGCTGCAGAGATTTCTCCAGACTGGCTGAATCTCTTGACATTATGCACTATATATGGTGAGATATTAAATGTTTTCACAATTTGAAATTGATGAACATTATCTTGAAGTTATTGCAGTTTTTTGCTGACTTCTCTTGTCTTTGGAGAAGCTGTCTCTCCAGGGTCACGTTGTGGTCAATGGTTGTTGGACATTTGATAAGATACTTATGTGGTCATATTAAGGTACATATATTTCTACTTATTTAAGCTATGTGTTATATTTAACATAATTTTTAACTTCTTTAACAATGGACTTTTCCTAATTTTGGGATATCTTAAGTTCTTTCTGTTAAACAGAACTGAGAAAGGCTTTCTTTCCCTCTCATGGTCTTCCACTCATCCAAGCATTCATGCGTCTCATGTTTGCCATTTTTTAAACAAGATCAAATCATCTGACATTGAAAATCAACTCTCACATGTTTTAATGTTATTTTTTCCAGACTACAGGGTATCTTACTTGTTCTGTAAAGAACAGATACATAACATGAGGAATCTGTAGACAAGGCACAAGATTTTTTCATCATTAAGCATAGAACATGTAAAGAGCAAAAGGACTACGTTTTCTGAAATTCAATCTCAAAACCATCGATTATTATCGGCCAATAACTTTGCTTTTCATTAGCTTTTAAAATTGTAAATTTTGAACTAGTGTCCTTGTAATTAGTATCCGTCATCTACTACCTGGATATGATGGCTATACCAGAGGCCCTGAAAAACTGGCTGTGTTCCCCTGTGGGAAGGTAACACATTCCCAGAGTAGTCACCTCTGTTTCTTCATATAGAGTCAAATCCACCAGAGAGAGGGAATAAACCCTTTTGTCAAAAAGCAATTTATGAGGGATATGAAAATTGTCCTAATTTTATGATAAAATCATAATGAATAATTGATCATCATGATGATCATAATAATAATAATTAAAAAAAATAATTATTAACAACAACATGGCCCTGTGACAAATTGGCGACCTGACCCGGGTGTACCCGCCCTTCTCCCTACAGTAGCTGCAAACCAGCACAACCCTGAACTGGAAGAGCATAAGAGAATGGATCAGTGCCTTTGGTTTTAATTATTCAGTTATACACTGAATACTTAAGGTATGTAAAGTGCAACCCACAGCCCTCCTTGAAGCAGTAAGCCAAAAAACTAAGGACGGTCCCAGCCTTGACCAATGAGAAACATAGCTGGCGTGGGCCAGTGCTGACCAATGAGAAACATAGACTATATATATATTGCCCCCTATGATGGCTGAGAAAGACTGCGGTAAGATCCTGTTTGACGTCCAGATGCAGGTGGACGCAGGAAGATGACCATATTTCCAAAAACTTTGAACACTTTCCTTTAACATTCAATTTGCTCTAAAAATTACTTTCACTTTGTAAATTGTATTGAGCATTTTCTTTGACAAGGAAGCTAATTAAACAGAATTAGAAAATAAGGATAAGTAAAAGTTAAGTGCAAAGTTTCTCACAAGACAGGAAAGCCATCAAGTTCTCAGCCATAACTGATCAAAGCACATGCAAGGAGAACATGCTGGAGATTAACTCGACAAAACTGCAGGGTCTTACACCATCCATTCGCAGAGGTGGACCAAGATGGAGCTAAAGGAAGGAAGGAAGCAGTTTTAATGTAACACTATGGTAACTAAAGGATCTCACTGTGCACGCATTTTGAACATTTCACATTCATGATGGTCTGCTGGTTTGTTTAGCGCTAGTAGTGATAGATTGCTATCCCATCAATGACATTGGTGCTTAAATTAAATCAACCTGACATCGCATGAACACCATTGGATACAGCTGAATCCTTGAACTTAAATCCTACTTCTTTTATTAAAAAAAAAAAAGTCATGATCTCAAAGAAAGAAGTGAAGAAAAACTCAAAGATATAAGTGTTTCATAGGCCGACGCCAATGAGCAAAACCGAGGCATAAGATGGAAAATGCAACAGTAATTTTCATAATGAACTGCATCTCTGAGTGGTCAGATGGTGGATGCACCTCGTTAAATTGTGCATCATTTGCTTTTATTTCATAAAGGACATTTCAGTATATCTTTTACTAATACCGGAAATTAGAGCATATTTCATAGCTTAAATTAAAAAAAAAAGACTTCAAAGAAGCACCGTTGATATTCACAGTACTACCTCCAGTGATTGTAATCACAGAACCTTTCCTGTGACACACCTGTCACCCATTTATGTGTGCAGAGATTTTTAAGTAGACCACACACATTGACGAATATACACAGAAGCTTGACATCCTGCATCACGCACAGTCTTCAGTGAAAGGCCTTTCCCGACTTGACGTCTTGACACATCCACTTGCAGTGGGTCCCGCTCCTTTGGGAAAACGTGCCCGGGGATGTTTTGCTCTACATGTGACCACCCACTAAATTCTTTCGCATTTCTAGCTCTGTGCTTTTTATTTTAGCCTGCATTCACTCAAGTCGATACACGAGTATACAAGAGTCTCTAAAGTGAAGGAACACCATCGCTCTCGTGAGGACAAATGCTAAATATCTGACCTGACAGCAGGTCAGCTGAAGCTCAGACTGAAAATAAATTGTTTACTGTGCCATTTTAAATTGACATAACTGGCAATTTAAAACAGACACTATTACTTGACAAATTGATCGTGACTAAATTAGCGATTAAGAAAAATGCATGGATATGCACAGGATAGTAAGTATTGAGACTCTCTGAATCATGTTGCAGATATAATTTTAAATGGATACCGTCAGTTTTCAAAAAGGGTAACAAAAGTAGCAAAAGTAGTGGCTCATCAGCAACTGCTTACACTTTTCAGCTAATTGAAAATCTTATTGTATTGCTTTACTGGCAATACAATAAAAAAAATACTGAAATGGGATACCGAGCAGCATGTATTTCTATTCTAAATAATAACAGGATATTATTCAGACTAAATCTGAAGAGTTTAGTGTCTGTTATATTCATGATGTGATAAATACAGTAAATCAACCATGAAACCACAGACTGAAGACATGATGTACTCGTACATGTGCACTTACCCTTGACACAATGAAGTCTGTGGAAAAGAAACAAGGACAAAGGTCACACTTTGACTGATTGAAGGTTGTTGAATGAAAACATGCCTGGTAGTGGCTGTGACCTGACAGCTTTTAACAGTATTCTAACTTTATTTAGTATTAAATAATTATGTTATGAGATATCCAAATGTGACGTAATGTTTCAGTTTGTGCACTGACTGATTTTTAAAGCTCGCTGCCTGCCAGAGCTTATACAGAATTCACTTTTCAAATAATACTTGACTGTTTGCGGTTCATAAGAAGGGATCAATTACTATGTTTCTAAAAATCTTGCAACAGCCAAATACTTCATACATACATAAAGGGAGTTCTGGTCACATAGTTAAGTCACTATATCAGAAGTGCCATCACTGTCTGTGAGTGCCAATGCAGTTAATGTACTCCAGTCTGATAATCTGTTTGCTGAAGGACTTGTCAACACTCCTACTGTAATACTCAATTCAGTTCAACTCAAAATGTATTTGCACACATTGATTTAGCACCAAAACACAATGGAAGTTACCACAAGGTGCTTTATATTGTGAGGTTAGGTATGTTCTCCTTGTGCCTGTATGGTTTCTACCATGAAGGCCTCCAAAGAGATGCAAGTTAGGTTCAGTGGAGACTCTAAATTTCCACAGGTGTGGGTCAGTGTAAGTGGTTGTCTGAATGTACTCTGCTGATGAAAAGCAAAAGCAGAACCAACTTTCAGACAGAAGCTTATCCCAGTTCTTGTGCACAGTTTATTTTCAAGGCTTAAATGAGAATCACACGATTACAGAGAGTGAAATATTATACAGGAAGCAACTGCTCATTCAGGTATTGCTTTAGTGCTGATAGCTGGTCACTAGCACTCTGTTGAAGATTTCCCAAGATAAGCCTCTAATGCGTTTACTGCCTCTAATGTACACTATGTTTCCAAAAGAATTGGCTTGCTTGCCTTCACATGCATATGAACTTGAGTGACATCCCATTCCTTGGCCCACCATTTGCAGATATAACATCTTCAGCTCTTCTGGGATGGCCTCTCCCTTAGAGATAAGGTGAGAAGTTCAGCCATCCAGGAGGGGCTCAGAGTAGAGCAGCTGCTGCTCCACATCGAAAGGAGCCAGTTGAGGTGGTTCGGGCATCTGACAAGGATGCCTCCTGGGTGAGGTGTTCTGGGCATGTCCCACTGGGAGGAGGCCCCGGGGCAGACCCAGGACTTGCTGGAAAGATTATATCTCTCAGCTGGCCTGAAAACACCTTGCTGTTCCCCCAGACAAGCTGGAGGAGGTGGCTGGGGAGAGGGAGGTCTGGGCTTTTCTGCTTGGGCTGCTGCCTCCGCGACCCGGCCCTGGATAAGCGGAAGAAGATGGTTGGATGGATGGAAGTCTTCTGGGAAAGCTTTCTAAAAGGTTTCTAGAGTGTTTATGGGATTTTTTTTTACTGTTCTTCCAAAATCACATTTGGAAGATCAGAGGCTGATGTTTTACAAGAAGGCCTGGCTCACAGGTCTCTGCTCTAATTAATCCCATTAGGTGGAGGTCAGTACTCAGGCAGGTCAAATTCCTCGACACCAAGCTCATTCATCCATGTCTTTATG